AGGAACCTCTCCTGGTAGTGTGGGCACCCAGTGTGACAAGGCTGTTTCCCCAGGATGAGTGATAACCTAAGAGGAAAATGCAGAGAAGGCAGAGGTCCAGGGTCCTGATGCTCACTGTCCTCCTGCCTCTCAGGCAACAAGCCTCTCCTCCAACGATTGCCAAGCCTCCAGGTCTACCACAGTGATGCCAGTGAAATGGGCCACACCTCGCCCATGAGCTTCCTTGACCTTCCGAGCTCACGGCCTTCACCCTTTGTCAGGCGGAGCAAATAGGCACCCTCAGGCGCTGGGCCCATCACCCCCCCCCCACCGCCTCCCCAGCATCTGCGCAAAGCCCAACAGAAAGCCGTGTCACCCCTGAGCAGCAGTAGTCAAATCTCAGCCAAAGAATTTTGGTTCAAAAGCAAATCCCACTTTAAAATGCCAGCTCCAGATAACTTAAGCCATCCCTTTTTTCTAAAGGGCACATTGAGAATGTCACCCATTTGTAAATTGTTCCCTGATGTCCTTGTTTAAACCGCCACAACCTGAAGGGCAACTCCATTTCCAGAGGGTCTTTGTGTTCCGAATCATGTGTCAGTCAGAGAGGGTCAGCTGTGGACAGCCATGCTCCCGGGCTTCTTCCCATCCTCTGTTGTAGACATCGATAGAGCAAACCCTCACTGCCACCGCGTCCTGTCACCTGGTGCAAATGGTGCCTGTGTGGTCCCTTGGGTGCCTTTGAGCTGGGCCATGGGGTACGCAGAAGGGGCACGGTGGACTTGCAATCTTTCGCTCTGGTTCTTGTACAGTCTTCAGGCCGAGGGACTGTCTCATTGGGAAGCCCCTCTTTCTAAGCATTATATTATCCGGAATGGCTTGGTCAACTGTGTTCAGTTAATAAATATGTTTTACATTTTTATCTGCCTGTTATAAAGATGAACAAAAAATACCTTAATGAGGAAGACCACAGATGCATACTAATTTAAAGTCTGTAGTTGAATTTCCTAATTTAAAGAATAGACCAAAATTTCTGTGTATAAAAAACAATGAAAGGCTCTTATAATCATGGTCTGGGTAACACGTGTGATTCATTGCTCGGTGGTCTCATAGGGAGCCGGAGGGCCTTTGGGGCACTCTGCGGCACTGGGGTGTCCTTCTGCAGAGAAGCGGCAGGCCCACCTGTGGCGCATGAGGTGACAGGCAGCCCACCTTGCGACTTGCAGACTGTCGGGCCAGCGCCCTCAGGTGGCACAGTTCAGCACCAGAAGCCAGCACACTTGGAGACTCCTTCGTGCGTGTGATAAGACATACTTAATAAGCTGAGTGTGGCAGCGCAGTCATCCAGCGCTCAGGAGGCTGAGCCGGAGGAGCCCCGCACTGGAGGCCGGCCTCGGCTACACAGAACATCCCATCTCAGATAAATGCGTATGTGTGCATGGCATAAAGCTGACCATCTCAACATCTTTGATCTACAGCGCTGGACCTGGAATTCAGGCCTCACACGATAGGCAAGCACTCAGGGCCCCACCCAGACTCTCAGCCCTTCCTTCCTTCCTGCCGTCCTGCCTTCCTCGTTCTTTCTTTTTTGAGACAGACTCTCACTGGCCCAGGCTGGCCTCAAACTCACAGTGACCCTCCTGCCTCAGCCACCCACGTACTGGGATGACAGGCATGCGCAGCCGCACCTGGCAACCCTGCCATTCTTACATGCCACACCCAGTGGCACTGAGCACCATCACCATTGCCCACTTCCAGAACGTTATCCCAACTCCCAGGGACACGAGGAACCAAGTCCCTGTTCCTCCTCCCAGGTCCTACCCTCCATTCTCTGGTCTGTCCATGAACTTAGCTGGCCCTAGTGCTGTCACAGCAGGTCTCTCATGGAGGTCATCAGAGTATCCTTTTGTGACTGGCTTGTACATGGCATTCATGTTATAGCGTGGGTCAGCAGGGTGAGTGACACATTGCACGGGGATGGGCCACCCTTTCTTCAGCCATTCCCAGAGACACTCAGTGTCGGCCACCTCTGGGCCATGACCATAACACTGCTGTGAGCCTGGGTTTCCGCGTAGCTCTGAGCTCCTGCTTACTACCCCAATGGGAATGGCCAGCTCTGCCACAGTGGCTGCACCATTTTCTGTGTCTGTGAGCAAGGCAGGAGGATCCCAGTCTGACCTCCTCTGTGCTGCAAGCCGGAACAAAGCCCCCCACCCACTCATTCCCCTGCACCAGCCTCTCTGAAGCCCCCATGTGGGCAGTTGTGGCCCAAGGCTGGAGCACCAGAGCCATGGCACCGCCCCGCCCTCACTTCCTGGGCTGCCACTTCTTGGCTGCACAACCGCACATTCAAGCTGCCAGCACCGTAGCACACACGGCAGGGCAGCGCCTGAGAAAGAAAAATGGCTCCAACAAAGACATGGCAGAGCGCTGTGATCCCTGCCACACAAATATAGCTTGGACCCCAAGGCTACCCTGGTCACACTCCGCCCCGAAACATGGCCCCGTGTAGAGATGCGCTCCCCTGCGGAGATGGCCCAGCAGCTCGACGCCAGCCTGGCACGCACAAGGTCATGAATGTGATTTCTTTTTTTTTTTTTTTTGGAACAGGTTATTGAACTCAGGCCCTTGCGCTTGCCAGGGAAGCGCTTATTCCACTGAGCCATCTCCCCGGCCCCGTGAATTTGATTTCTGGTCAAAACAAAAAAATCTTGACAGAACTGGGGATTGGGCCTGTTACTTCTCTCTCCCTGAGAGTTCTCTGTCAAGTATGACAGGTTCCTGTGGCTTGTGGCAGAGCCCTGGGAATCTGGGGAAGGCATACATGGAACTGCTGGGGCTGTTGTACGGGGCTTCCACAAACTGCCAGTGGAAAACGGCAGAAATGAGCCAGGTGTGGTGGCACACATGTGCCACCCCAGCCCTCAGGAGGCTATGCTCAAAGCCAGCCTGTACTACATAGTGAGATATTTCAAACCCCCCCCCAGAAAATTTTTTTTTAAAAAACCAGAAATGTCTCCTTTCCCAGCTCAGGAGGCCTGAAGTCCAAACTCAAGATGACGGCAAGCCCAAGGTCTGGGAGGGCTCAGGCTCAGGGAGAAATGGCAGTGGCTTCCTCTCGGCTTCTACTGGCACCAGCAATGTTTGGCACTCCTTGGCTAGTAGACGTGTCACTCTAGCTTCCACCTCTGTCTTCGCGTGGCCTCAGGATGCCAGCCTGGATTTACAGTCTACCCTAAGGACCGTCTCTTAACTTGGTGATATGTGTCAAGACCGTATTTCCAAATACGGTCCCCTCTGCAGGCCGCAGGGCTTAGGACGTGATCTCTCAGAGGGCACAATTGGGGGCGCCAGGTCCTGCCCAGGGCTGGCTTGCCTCTCCCGCTCCCTCCCCGGCTGTGTAGGCCAAGCAAGGCTGAGCCATTGATCACATTACCGTGATTACTATAGGCCCTGCGCGAAGGCCGGAGCCTCGGGTTCCGCAGTATCTTGTTGCAGCAGCCCTGCTGACCTTTGGAAGCCCGAAATAAAGGAGATGAAAGGCTATACATCCTCATGCTCCTTTTATTTTTTGCAGAAGCCTTGGTAACAGTAATCAAGGAAACAAAAAGCAAAAATAAACCAACAAAGTAAACTAAAAGCCACACAGAACCCCTAACCCTGTAAACAACGACCTGAATTTCGCAGCGCTCAGAGCAAGGCCCGATGCACACTATCGCACAGCCCCAACAGACACAGGCTGGCTGTCGAATCAGAAAAATTAGACAGGCCAGGCGACAAGCACTGAGCTGACAGGCCCCGCGGCCAGCACACAAATAACACCGAGCAGAGCCAGCGAGTCCTGGGCAGTGTGACACGCCGAGGAGGGATTTTAAAATAGCAGTCATTCAGTGTGACCTGCTCAATCGGCAAAGTGGGAGCCAAGTCCCATGAGAGAAACTTGCTTTACACTCAGTCACCATGAAAGGAAACATGCTTTCTGGGGCTGCGGGATGCTCTCAGCTGGGGTAGGGGTGCTCGTCCCCAGTCCTCTTCTCACTGCCCTGTCCTGAGGACAGGCCCAGGCTGAGCAGCAGCAGCACAGCAAGTCCTGGCAGGCCTTGCAAAAGCTGAGCTCTCCCACTTCACAGCATGTCCAGGCACAGGCTTGAGCGGCCCCAGAGAGCCAGCGGGCAGCTAGGGCAGGCAGGCAGGCAGGCCAGGAAGTACCGCCACCAAGGTCCGTTCAATGCGGTGCAAGGCGAGGCCTGGCCCAAGCCTTGCCCCCCTGGCCCTAGCTCTTGGCCTCAATCCCTGCCCTCCCAGAGTGCCAGGTGTGTCAGGCGCATGGATACGGAGGCGACACAGTGGAAAGGGGACCCTCTGGGGGCAGTGTAAATGCTGAACAGGGAAGGCTCTAGCCACACACGGACAGTGGGAAGTGCCACCTGTGCTGGGTGTGGGGCTCATGTCAGACCACTGTCGTGTGCAGCCGAGAGCTCAGGGTGCAGCATCTTGGCGTCTGTCTGGACTGCCCTTAGGACTCTGCCTGCCCTGGGATAATGCCAGCCATCTGGGCACCAGCGAGCCTCCCTCAGGCCACTCTGCCCCAGCACTCCGCCAGGCGTCACAGCCAGGACCAAGGGTGTTCTGAGAGCAAGAGTCTCATAGGGCAGCGTGGGTTTTGGAGCTAAAGCAAAGGGGCTCTGTTGATTTGCGCCATCTTTTATTATACAAAATAAAATTTCATGTACATTGCAAGTCATACTTTCTATAAATCTGACTTTTAAAAAACCCCTAGGGGTGCAGTCCCATCTGTCCTTCAACCTCCCTACAACTGACGTCATGCCAGCGTCCTCTCAAAGGACAAAAGCAGAAGTGGCTGCCCAGGCAGCGGCACACTGTGTTCTCAGCCTGCCCAGCAGAGGCACGGCTCCCGGCATCGTGGGGACCGCGGCTGCTAGGGACAGTCAAAGCGGCAGTGTGTCATCGCCTTCACCAGCCCGCCTCCAGCAGCACAACCAGTCCTCCCAGCTGGTTCTCTGGGGACCAGCCGTCACAGCAATGTGGTTGCACCATCCCCAGGCAGCCGGCCATCCTGGGCTTCTCTTTGGAAAGGCCTAGGCCAGAGCCTTAGGGGATCTCTGTGTCCATGGAATAAATCTGAATGAGATCAGATACAATATTATCAATGACTGGCTTGGTAAGGTCGTCACTAAACACCTAGGAAGGAGAAGGAAAACAGGTTCTGATTAGACGCCTCTGTGTTCAACAAGCACTGCCACTAGTACAGCTCGGTGTGTCCAAAGCGGGAGGGGACAGGGGACTCCAGCCTGCTAGCCTCGTCAGAGACCGCCTAGGGCAGAGACCACTCCAGAGCCGCAGGACAGAGGACCCGGCCAAGCACGATCACACAGGCATGGACGAGAGAGCCGGTCCAAGCCATAGGCTCTGGCCTTCCGCCTGGTGCTGTCAAGTTCAGGTCTTTGGGGGCACTGCCCAGAGGAGAGGGTGGGGTCCACATTCCAGACACAGGTAATAAGAGGGACTGGGCCCCCTGCCAGCTGGCCCACTCTTGGCACCTAGACCACACGTGCCCTTGGGGGCCACCTAAGCCCAGCCACAGCCTGAGCCTCCTGGGACTGCTAAGCCCCCAGAAGGCCATGCCTGATGAAAGTACTCTGCTTCACCAGGGCCTGGGGGCCTGCCAGGCAGTCTACACTGGCACCACAATATGTGGGCACCTGGGCAGCACAGTGCCAGCTGGACCTGTGGGGACCAGGACCCAAGCCACCGACATCAGCTGCTCAGTGCTCCAAGCCTATACCACGTACCTGGTAACATCCCCGGACCCAGGGTTTGGGGGTTCCTGGGTGACAAGGCCCTACACAAGCCTTCTGCACCCACCTCCCAGGGATCTGGACACTCCTGCACTGTGGCACCCTTTTGTTAATAGTCTGTGGGATCCTAGAGTCCCTGGTGAGCCAAGTGGTGCTGCTTCGGGGGACCCCCAAGAGGAGAAAGTAAAGAGCAAAGCAACAATCCCCTGGGCAGAGTGGTGGCCCAAGGAACCAAGGTTAAGCCCATGCAATGCAACACCTGGATCTTAAGTCTGCCCCACCTAAATGCCCGATGCAAGGGAGGTCCCTCTGCAGCACCCTGCCCATATGTCCTGGGACCCTGTCCAAAAGTACAAGAAATAAAACAAAAGCCCAGTGTCCATGGCTAAAAGGTAGCAGTTCCCCAAGTGAGCATCTACGGCTAAGTAGATGAATAGCATGGGAGCCATCCCTACACCAGCTGTCACGACCTTCTCAAGGAAGGGACAGCTGGGTCAAGTGGCATGTGCCTATCATCTCAGTACCCAGCAGGCTGAGGCAGGAGGAGCTCAGTCAGTCCCAGGCCAACCTGGACTACACAGTGAGACCAAACCAATCAATCAGTCAATCAATACAAAAGAAAAGACAGGCTGACACGCAGGAGAGCATAGATAACCCCTGGGGACACAGCACTCAGTGAAATGAACCAGCCACTAAGGGACAAGTTCCACATTCTCCCTCTTGCAGGCAGCTCCTAGAGCGGCCAGTCATAGCTACAGGGGGCAGGGGAGGGGACCAGTCAGTACCAGGTCTAGACAGAGCCATCAGGAGCCAGTGTCTCCTGGGAACAGGGCCTGACTGCTCAGGAGTTCCGGGGATAGGCAGCAGATGGCTGAGCTATGGGCCAAACTGCCAAAAATGCACATTTTCTCTCCTGTACCCATCAGCACGCACTCCCCACTTTTACAAAGGGACCCAGGGAGCCCCTCACTGCCCCCACTCATCTTGCAGTCAGAACTGTGCCTCCCACGGCCCACATGTGCCTAAGTGCAGGACAGCTGCTGGCCAGCTGCGCTCTCGTGCTAAGCCCATGGCCTGAAGGTGACAGGAGACAGTCATGGCAAGCAGCAGCAGCTGAGAGTACGTGGGGAAGAAGTTTTTCCAGCATTTGATATGCCAGGCATGGTGTCACACACTGGGTATCCCAGCGTTCAGGAGGCTAACGCAGGATTGCCCCTGCCTGCCTGGGCTGTATGATGAGCTCAAGGCCAAACTATACAGGGAGACCCTGTCTCAAATACACAACAGGGGCCGGGGAGATGGCTCAGTGGAATAAGCACTTCCCTGGCAAGCACAAGGGCCTGAGTTCTACCCCTGGTTACACACACACACACACACACACACACACACACACACACACACACAAATCAAATACAAAACAAAAAACAAAACTAAAGGGCCAGCAAATAGCTCAGCAGATTAAAGCACGTGCAAGCAGGTGTAAGGGCCTGGGATTCGACTGTCACACCTGCCATGCTGGCCCCGCCCCCGGGCACACTGTGAGGGCAACTGAGACTAGGCCTGGTGGCACACCTGTAATCCCAGCTCTTGGGAGGCTGTAAACAGGCAGAACACTGAGTCCGATCTAGTAGTGAGACCCTGAATACCATGTAGACCCTTGCCTAAAATACAAAAAAAAAAAACAAATAACAAAAAACTAAAGGGCCAGGGAGAGAGCTCAGTGGCATAAGCACCTGACTGGCATGCACAAGGTCCCAAGTTTGATCCCCGATACTGCAAAAAATAAAAAAAATAATAATAAAACTAAACTTAAAAAAGCACCTGCCATGAGTTTTCCAGTGGCACCCAGCTGAGGCTCCCTAGGATGGCTCGTCCAAGGTGGCTGGCCTAGCACCCCACTGTCCGAAGGGGGCCGAGACTCTGCAAGGTCCTGGTCCGGGAAGCCCTGGGCCATCGCCAAAAGGTGGTATCGAGCTTGCCAGGCTTTACCAAGAGCTAGATGAGTAGCCAGGCACCAACCAGAAAGGGCAACTTCTTCCCACGGTGAGCAGTGCCAGGGCCACTTCTGGCTGTGCCAGGCCAGGGCTGCTGCGCTCCATTTGGGAGACCCTAGCAAGGGACGCAGAGGTGGAGCTGACCATCCAGTGCCATTTACAAGCTAGTGAAGAAAGCACAGGGCAAAAGCAAACCAGAAGCACCAGCAGATAGCAGAAACCAGCGATTAGTGTTAGAGCTAGCTGCCTGGGGAACAAGACCAGCATGCCCACCAGGTGGCCTCGGAGAGTAGCTGATGCCAACCAGGCAAAGCCACAGCAACTTGGCTTCATGCTGTCTGTGCACGCAGCTGCCCTCCTTCCATACAAACTCGGGGGCACACCTGGTTGAGGGCCCGAGATCATGGCTATGGTCATTCAGAGACCCCCAGTGCCACCTGTGCGCTGATCTAGACAGGATGGAACAAGGCAACAAGCAATGAAAAGAAAGTGTGACCTTTCTCCAGAGCAGCACCCCACCAGCCACATAACTTCTCTAAGGGACACATTTGAATACACTATCTACCAAGAGCACTTTGGTTCAGAAGGTCTGGGTGCAGTGGCAAACTCAGCACTCATCCACCTACCCACCCACACATCTATTCACCCATCTACCCACCTACCATCTACCTCACCCATCTACCCATCCACCCACCCACCCACCATCTACCTCATCCACCCACCCACCTACCATCTACCTCACCCATCCACCCATCCACCCACCCACC